AAAAGTTTTATCAAACTTTTCTAAGTCGCTGAGACCCAAAAAAAAGTAAAAATAATCACAAGTTATTTTTATACCAAAAATCTTTCAAAGTCCCTAGATAAAGAAAGAAAATAAAATATTGCAATTATTTCAAAGTCCCTAGATAAAAGATTAAATAAATTGTAAAATATTACAAGTTATTTTATAACGGAAATATTTTCAAAGTACCTAGATAAAAGATTAAATAAATCGTAAAATATTACAAGTTATTTTATAACGGAAATATTTTCAAAGTACCTAGATAAAAGGTAGGAAATAAATAAATCGTAAGAATATTACAAGTTATTTTTATACGAAAATATTTCAAAGTACCTAGATAAGAGGAGGAATTAAATAAACCGTAAAAATATTACAAGTTATTTTTTATACGAAAATATTTCAAAGTCCCTTACATAAATTAAATCTCGAAAAATATTACAAGTTATTTTTCGAACAAAATTTCTTCAAAGTCCTAGAAGGGAGAAATAAAATGCCAAAAATTTTACAAGTTAATTTTACCTGAAAATATTTCAAAGTCCCTTACATAAATAAGATCTCGAAAAATATTACAAGTTATTTTTCGAACAAAATTTCTTCGAAGTCCTAAAAGGGAGAAATAAAAATACCAAAAATTTTACAAGTTATTTTTATGTAGAAATTTCGGCAAAGTCCCTAAAGGAATAAAATCTCGAAAAATATTACAAGTTATTTTTCGAGCGAAATTTCTTCAAAGTCCAAAAGGATGAAATAAAACACCAAAAATTTTACAAGTTATTTTTATATCGAAAATTTGGCAGAGTCCCTAAATATGCATTAAAATAAAGGCAAAATATTTCAAAGTCAATAAGGATTAAATATTAAATAAAAATAAGGTAAAAACTTACAAGTGTTTATCGCAGGCACCAGCTCATCAAACGACTAAGTCTCGCGTAGGGACTTAGCGTGCTGAAAGAGAAAATTTCTTACATGAACCAAGTTACCCTTTTTAACAAGGGAGAAATCTCCTGATTTCTTCTAAGTTTTTAAATTGAAATATTCAGAAAATCCGACTAAGTCGAAATTCCCAAATAAATCAAAATAAAATGGCCGCGGTTTGATACAAACCGACAAAGTTTCGCCTTGGAACTTTGTCAAAAAGCTGAAAGAAAAGCACTGGGTAAAAATAAAACAACTATTGAGTCTCTAGGAACTGAATCAACCAGAGGGTCTCGTATATGCCTAAAAGGCTGGTTCTGAGGACCTGTCCTTACCAGAACGAACTTCTGGGCATCGTACACCTATATTTATATCAAAAAAATGAGGTCAACTGTAACCGTCGTTAACGGACTTTTTAGCTAAACTATGATTGGTTTGTACGATACCAGAATACAGATTTTTCTAATTATGATTGGTTGCAATTATTTTGCAAATTGACCAATCATAATTTGGGAAAAATCTGGCGAAGGCGACAGTTTGCCGTCAGTCGCTGGGACCTTAGCGTGTAAGCAGTTCGTAGCTGGTTTAGACTGTGATCCTATACACGTCTGCACAGTAGCAAGTCTCACCGTCTAGCTCAGCTTTTTGAGCGAGCTGTATGTGTTCGTATATTTTCTTGTATATTCAATTACACGGTCATAGGCCGCTTCCACTTTCAGTCGTATGTACTATTTTTCTAATGTGTCAGCTCTATATCAGACATCACTTGTATACTTCATCATTTACTCCAAATAATGATGTGAGGACTGTTCCTAGAAGTCTCATTTCGGCCTTCTTTTAACTTGGTGTTCTACCTATCATTTTTGTCCGTTCTTGTTCTTCTTTAAGCTGACTCGATAGTGAGTCACAATTTATTATATTGCTTGCCTTACACATATCTTTCGGGGATTCTACCATTGAATCTATCGTCCGTTCACCAACTAAAATTATTTTCTTTTTTTTTTATTCCAAATATCTATTGATTTTTATATACATCGCTACTAATCTCTGAATATAATAAGGGGGATGAGGCATCTTGTACAATATGTAGTAGACAAAACATAAATTTTTTCCACATACTTGCTACTTGCCTTTCGTGAGGTGGGCTCTCGTACTATTGATATCAACTTGTGTATAGGACGAGTAGTTACTTTTTCGTTCTCCTTTTGAACTGTTACGACTCTTGCCAAACCTTCTTCTCCGAGATGTTTTTCGATTATCTTCGCTAGTGGCTATTTTGCCGGCGAAGTATCATCCTCCTTTTCTAGGATTGTGACGGGTTTTTGCCGCTTATGTTGCTGTTGTAGATTTGATAAGTAGTATTGTCTCCAAATGTTCTAAAAATCTCTTTTTATAACAGCCTCCACCTTTGTGGCATAATAGTATATGTGCTCAACTTTTCCTCCATATTTTGTGAAATTAGTTCTCTCCCAATTAGGAAGTGTATTGAGGTTATTATTCCGATCTCCATCCCAATTTCTTTCTTAATTTTTGTCGAAGACTTGTATGCATTTTTAATAAATTCCTCTAACATCTTTTTTCCTTCCTCGTATTTCTTTTGTATTTGCTCGTAATATTTAGATATAAAATATTTATCATCTTTTAAACACTTTTCTTAAATTTCAGTGTTTTGCTCTTCGAAGTCGCTATACAATTCGTCAAGTGTCTGCAACCTTATATTTAATAGTCTCTTATCCTTTTTTCGTTTAATTTTTTATCATTAGTTAACAATTTAACTATGTTTTGTCCTAGTTTCTCTTGTTGCTCGTATACATTTTGCATTTCGATACGTATGTATAAACCTGACCTAAATTCAATTAAGGCTCAGCAAGATACAACCTACCTCAACAAGCTGTGACCTTCAACTTGATGACCACAATAATTGTACAATTTTAAATGTAATTATCACTTGTAACCAAAGAAGTAACTTTCTTTGATTAAAAAAAGCAAATACGATAAAAAGAATTAAAATTAAAATCGATTATATCTTTTAAGAAATCTAAATTGCTAAGTGAGTAACACATGTGCAACTATTTAATGACCTGTTATGAAGTATGTATAAACTGTGTGATAGTTCTTGGACAATATTTAAATGCTAAATGTTTCTATTAGTTATGGTTTTTAATTGATTGTTACAGAACATGTAAAAAATTTTATTTTCTCTTGCTTAAGATGAAATCAGCACCAACTGATCTTCGGCATTTTTTCTTTCTTATTGTATTTTATGCATATATAATTTATATATTTTGTGTATTGTATGAATTTGAAGGAAAAATAAAGACCTTTATTATTATTATCAGATTTAGCCATACGACTCACACTCCCTGTAAGGGGAAAATTCACTCATCCCAGATACCTACGGTATCAAAATGATTGAGCTCTGGTGGGACTCTTTCCATGTTATCGAGTCCTAGGTGACTTGGTACGTCGGTGTATCTCCCAAAAATTTTCGCACGCATCTGGACGTCGAAAGTAGCACAGCTTTCTGCATAATCTTATATAGATTTTCATTTAGACCCAGCTTCTTTATGTTTTCTAGGAGGTCCTTCGGGATGACTCCAGTGGTAGAAAGAATAATAGGTATCGTCTTGGTAATTTCCATTCTCCATTGTCTTCTTATTTGTATTTCCAGATCTCTGTACTTGGCGATCTTTTCATTGTACTTAACACGCAAATTATTGCTGTTAGGTATCACCACATCGATTAGTGTTGTTTGTCTCGTTAGTTTATTAACTAGCACGAGATCTGGTCTATTATGTACTACAGTTTGGTCTGTGAGCTTGTAGTTGTCATTCTCAAGCATACTCTCAGGGACGTATTGATAATATGGGAGATGGTCTGTTTGTAGAAGTCCCAGTTTAAAAGCAATCTCTTGATGGAGGATCTTCCCTACTTAGTCATGCCGTTCCTTATATTCAGTTGCAGCAAATGCCTGGCAGTCCCCAGTAAGATGTTGGATGGTTTCTTGGGCTTGACATCTATATCAGCATTTGTCGTTTTGGACCTGAGGATCTTTGACAATATATTTCTGGTAATTTTTGGTTGGTATAACCTGATTCTGAATGGCAAGTAATGAACCTTTTGTTTCAGGGAACATCTTTCCTGATATCAACCAATAGTTCGATGCTATATTGTCGACATAGTCTTGGATGACCTCATTCGGATGTCGCCCGTGCAGAGGTTTACCCCGCCTGCACCTGAAAATAAGTTCTTAAATTAGTAATCTGTTTTTCTAATTGTTCGCTTATATCCATAAGTCCTCGTCGTCTTAAATACCGCGCTAATGTCGTTCTTTCTACTGCACTTCGAGGATGGTGTTTTTGTGACTTTGTGAGGTGTGTTTGTACTTTTCGCTGAAGAGTTTCTATATCCGTTTTAAGTCCACTTTAATACCAAATGAGTAGCTAAGCGCGGAAAATGCGTTAGTGTTTAATGCCTTAAATAAATTTTTACTATTAAGATGTGAGCGGAGTAGCTGTTTTACCATTCGTATGAACTCTGATGTTAATTCAATTTTCATATATTTCTGATTTCTGACTCCTAGATATTTATACATGTCATTTTCGCCCATAGCCTCGATGCCATTTTGCATATCGAATTCTCCGGGCTGAACCTTTCCCTTGACTATATTTAGTACACGACCTTTGTCTAACCCAATTTGTCACTATATTATGATGCCACACTGAGTGAAAGGTTTTCTTATAGTCAATAAAGGCAGTGAAGAGGTTCCTTTTTTTGGTGTATGCCTGGTTAGAAATGACTGAGTCGATAATAAGTTTTTCTGTGCAACCCATGGAACCCTTAGCGCATCCTTTCTGTTGAGGTTCTATGATATTGTTTATAGCGCAGTGTTGATAGATACGCTGGGCTACACAGGATGTAACCAATTTATACAGAGTTGGAAGACAAGTAATTGGGCGGTACTTAGCTGGATCTTGGGTATTATTTTGATCCTTCGGTATTAAATAAGTTGTTCCCTGAGTTAGGCATGATAAAATAACACGATTTATTAGTGTTGACAAGCACTCATGAGCACTCCAGAACTTCTTAAGCCAGAAGTTTTGAACGCCGTCTGGTCCAGGAGATTTCCAGTTAAGCTCTTTGATGATAATAGAGACTTCTTCTGTGGTGAAGGGTTCATAGACAGTTGTACGGTAGTGTTGATAGTTGTGCGTCGTATCTTCTATCCATCCAGCATTGGTGTTAAGAGCAGCTGGTGTGGAAAGTTGATTTCCACAAAACTCCTGAATTTCTTCTTGGCTTGGTTATGATTTATTGGCATTTTCGACGGTGGAATTGAGTTTCCGATAAAACGCCTTCTCGGCATGCTCAAAAAGCGCATTGTCACCTTTCCGGCTGTTGCTGACTTTATACCTCCTTAGTCGTCTTGAATAAACGGAGAGTTTTTGTTTTAATGTACCCAGGCAGTGTTTTTTTCTGGATCATATTGTGAGTGTCTTGCAGTGCTTAGCATTATTTGATCTGATCTTTTAATAACTTTTCTACTAGTTGTTCTTCGTATATATCCTGCCATTTGACCAATGTCCCTAAGCAATAATTCAATCTTGTTTAGAAGCCGTTTCTCCCAGTGTGCAACTCTGTTATCTGTCCTTCCAGCATTGGTACCCCGTCATATTCTGATCTTAATTCCCATTACATTAGCTGTTGCTGCACAGTAAATAAGCATGTGCAAATATTCCAGCGTATGGGCTTCTACGACGTAATTAGCACCTAGTTTTTTAGAAGAGTTTATTTTTGCTAGCGGTGATCTGCTAAGTAGATTTGTTCCATTAAACTCTTATACAGCACGTGCCATTTCGCTTACCAAGGTATCGCGTAACTCGTTGTCCTGTTGTGTATTATCAGGTTGAGTTTCTTGTATGGCAAGCTCAGGAATCTGCTCATATATTTCATTAGGGACTTGATCCACATTTACCTCTTGGTGATTAATTTCCCGTTCGACTTTGTTTCTGATGGTATTGCGTCTAGTCTCTGGGATAAAATTGTTTCTTATAATTACCCGGTATTGATCAGCAACTCGTTGTTCAGTTACTTGTATTTCTGGGTACTCCCTGCAAAATTCGGCATAAAGATTTTGTCGATACCCGATCGTTTCTTGACCGAGGTTTGTCACCTGGTAATAGAAGCGCAAAATATTTTCATTTATGGATGCAGACCATTTCATGCGCTGCCTCGGTCGTCCCGCTTGGGTGAGCGCCGGCTGATGTTCCAGCGCAGCACCTTCAGCAAGTCGATCTCTTGGTATTGTTTGGCTCGCTTGTGGTTGTTCTTGTTGTTGTTGGGCTGTAGCTGATTGTATGACAGGGGTCTGCCTCCTCAACACCCTGCCACCGACGTTCCGCATGCTGTCACGTCCAGCGCCGGCTCCAGACCTGCCCTGGTCAACTAAACATATATTATTAATATCCATTTTCATGGGTGTGCATTTTATACCTACTGCCAGGTGTCAGTTTTTGTTCCACGGCAAGTAACCCTGCTACCCTCTGGGTATCAGTGCTAAAAATACCCAGAGAGTATCTCCCATTCGCAGGGGGCCGCGCCTGATAGAAGAACTGATAAAAACTCCTCCAGATTATGATTATTATTATAAATGTGGAATTAATGAACTAAAGAATGTTTATAAAAATAACTGTTGATTTATTAAATATATCAGGAAGATATTACATACAGAAAATCAAATATTTCATAAGACTCAAATTATCAAATAATTAATATCAAAATTAAAATATTAGATTTAAATAAGTAGGTAGGTACTACCTACTTTATTTAATTAAATATTACTATTATAAATAGTAATAAAAATAGCATGAAAGGTTAAATATTTCAAGAAAGAAAACAAATTTTAAGCTTACGTTTCTTTAATAATCATTTTTAATTTATCAAAAAAAGCACTGCTCTAAATGAGAATAATTTAAAAACTTATAGTTTTATCCCGACATTTACTTATGTGGCACCGGGTGTAACTGGTAACTGGAACTAGTGAGCTGGATTTCTGGAAGCCGCTAACTTATTCATCTCCCAACAGCTGGAACAGTAGACTCTAGGAGTGCTATTCAGGTTCTCTGGGGCTCTCTGGTCTTTCTGGTCTTTCTGGACTTTCACATATTTTATGAATATGTTGGATGTATGATGTATATCATCTTATATTATTTGGATCAACCTGCATCCAAACTGGAACATAAAAGACACGAAAAAGATGTCTATTTATAATTGAAACAGCAGAACAACTTATAAAGCCCCATATTATTCACAGATCGAACGTAGGACTGTCTAAATCAACTAATCGCGAACTTTACAGGACAAGCAACTGCCACAAGTGCCACAACTCTGTCCACACAGAAAAGAAGATGTTACTGTCCATAAAAAAATCGAGAACACAAAAACAAACTTGTAATATTTGCAGCATGAACGTTTGCACTAAGCACACACGTGTAAAACGTGAGTGCATTAGTTGCCTAAGAAAGTAAATATATTATAGTTACTAAAGAACTATAGGTTAAAATTTGGATTGTTTTTTAATTGTTATATATCAAGCTCTCAATAAATATTACTGCATTAGCTAAAAATAAAAATTCAAAATCGTTACACATTTTATTAATTATAACATGAAATATCGTAATATTGTTACCGTGCGTCCGATGGACACGCTCTGCCTACTATGTCAGAAAAATAAGTGTTCGGTTAAGGGTTAAATTCCTGTTTATCAGGTATTTCGTTACGATACTTATGTAGTCTGACACTCCTGCTACTTCGAGCTTCGTTAGTATTTGATGTCAAATTTCAGAATCTAAGGAATTCTTCAAATCGAACATCAGAAGAATGGTCCATCTTTTTCTCGTTCTTTTTTACATTGTCAGAGATCTTCACAGCATCTATAGCCAATCTGGCTTTTCTAAAATCATACTATCTACCTGAAATTATTCAAATTCATTTATTGATGTAATTTTGCCAGTAGGCTAACACACGTCAAAATAAAAGCAGAACACTAGCTCTACTAAGAAAATCTTAAATTTTAATTACATAAAAAGACATCACTTTTAGTTAAAATTGTTTAAAATTGAAATTTCTGAGATTCCTTACTATTATAAAATACATTTTTTATTAACATTTCCTTAATTTTACTTTTAAATTGAGTTGTGAGAAGATCCTTTAGGTTATCAGGCAATTTGTTTATCGGGCAATAAAATTTAATTGCCCGGTACCCTGTTCCAGTTTGAAGCCTCTGTAGTCTCCAGTAGGCTGGAACAAGATCACACATGTGTCTAGTGTTATGATGTCACTATGCAATCGTTCCTAAACCCAAGGCCTGCAAGAAATCTTAAAGCGTTACATTGCAAACTAAAGACTCTCAGACTCTAGATGTCTAAAGACATCAGCACATCAATACAGACATAATAAGCTGTTGTTAATACCTTGTGTGAAACGTTCGATGCTAGATTTCTGAGCACATATAAGTTCTTTGATAGGGTTTTACTCTATAGATGTTGACCCCATTGAAGCTTGGGCTCTAAGTGTACCCCAAGTAGCTTCACACTTATCACATCTGCGTTTTCAGCCTGGGTATCCCTAAGAGCAAAAATAGCCCTGTTGGTCTTTGCTTCATTAAGCAGGAGCCTGCTAATACAGAACCACTGTTTGGTGTCCAACAGTGCAGACATAAAACCCCCAAGGGAGTCCTTAAGTGTGTCAGCTGCGAAGGAGACTGTGGTGTCACAGGAGAAAAGTGTGTTCGTAGCGTTTGATTCAATAGTTGTAATGTCATTAATATATATTAGAAATAGTATGGGTCCAGGGACGGATCCCCGAGGAACACCAATATTAACAACACCTCAGACACTTTCACCGTGTTCTCGAGATATGATTGTATCAACTTAACACTCTGCGGGCAGAAGTTGTACCTCTGTAGTTTTTTCAGGAGTATGTCATGGTCTATACAATCAAACGCCTTACTCAAGTCAGAAAACAACAGTGCTGAATTGCATCCTATGAAAGGAGTCATAAGATGCGGAACACTGCGTCAAGAATGCTTCTTGTTGTGTTGAGTTGTGCTTCTTTCCTTCCTGAAACCGAACTGTGATTCTGGGAAATAATTGTTACTTTCGAAAAACTTGTGATTTGCAAAGCCCATCGAAGTCTCTAAAGTTTAAGGAATTCTGAGATCGGTGCCTCTTTGAACAATTGGTAGAGTTCATGGTTGTACCTGGATCTTCATTCTTCGTTTTCTTTAATAGGTCCAAATATCTTCCTTAGGACTATTCTTTCGAAGACGTCCAGCTTTCGTTTTGTGTCTTCTGTCATCACCCATGGCTCGCATCCATAAAGTACTATTGGTCTGATAATATTTTTGTAGGCCCTAATTTTGGATCTTTAGTGTGTGTTTTTGGAGCGGGGCACCTGTGCGAGTGAAAAGTAAGCTTTGTTTATCTTTAGTTTTTACTCTTTACTATTCTTCTCTGAATTTCTGGTTATTATCTTGATTTGATTGAATTATTTTTTAAATTGTTTTAAAGCATGTTGGCGAACAGCACATGCATTACTCAAGCTGTCATTAGACGAGTTCAGTTATTATCTAGGATGAATGTACTATAGCTCATGAACATTAATTACATAGAAGTATGCAAGATTTAAACGGCAACAACAAACAATTTGGTGGTGCCGTCTTACTACTGCATGGTCACTTCCGACAGACAATACCGGTTATTCCTCTCTTTACATATGCGGACAAGATTAATGCATGTTTAAAACAGATTGGCCATAAGACATCAGAGTACAAGTACAAAATGAACTATTGGCGCAAATATTTCCAAACATTTTCTGGATATTGGAAACGGTAAAATAAAACTGCATCCAAATACACAATACATCAAACTTCCAGATAGTTTCTGCACTTTTGTTGAGACCAAACATGAATTAATTGTAAGTTTCTTCTTCTTCCCGGCTATACCGAATAATTACTTGAATCATAATTGGCTCAGTGAGCGTGCAATTTTGGCGGCGAAAAATGTTGATGTTGACGAAATTAACTTCCAGATTTTAAATCCTGATCTGAACAGCCGTAAATTATCCAACAGAGTTTTTAAATTCTGTGGATTTACCAGGGATGCCACCACACAATCTTCAGTTGAAAATTGGTTCACCAATTATTCTGCTACGCAATTTGAATGCACCCAGAATATGCAATGGCACATGTTTGGTCATTAAAAGTATTACCGGAAATATAATCCGGAAGTTAAAAGTATTTTCAAAAACATTATTGAAGCAATTATTTTGACTGAACGATTTAAAGGAGAAATTTGCGGCTTGGATTTAGAGAATCCATGTTTCTCACATTGTCAATTATATTTTGAATGCTCACGTGTTGGTAAACCATCAAATTTGTAAAAAAGGTAAAAAAGTGTTGGTAAAAAAGTGTTGGAAGTTGTACCTGTATGGGAGTGTCCGAAATAGATCTAGAGAAAGGAAAATGATTTGTTCTAACAAAAAGTAGATGATGATTAAGAATCATGTATTTTAATACTGGTAATTTTTGTGCAATTGAAAGTTTTTTGCAATTTTCTATTAATAATAAATAAATCCCATATGTAACAGGTGCCGAAGGTCAACTGACCGAGAAAATTTTCGATCCAACCTGTGATCCGACTTCCAACTTCACCATTCACGCTCCGACTTGGTCGCCAGTCGGAAGTCGGATCGTCAAGTCGTCCCACTAGATGTTCCGAGTCGTACCACTAGTTGTCCAACTAATCCAACTAGCCCACTCACGGTCCGATTTCAGATCCAACTGCAGAAGTTGGACCACTAGTCGTACCACAAGTCGTAACGTGAATGGCCTGCCCGATTTCAGATCCAACTGCAGAAGTTGGACCACTAGTCGTACCACAAGTCGGAACGTGAATGGCCTGTCTTATGCAGGCCATTCACGTTACGACTTGTGGTACGACTAGTGGTCCAACTTCTGCAGTTGGATCTGAAATCGGACCGTGAGTGGGCTAGTTGGATTAGTTGGACAACTAGTGGTACGACTTGGAACATCTAGTGGGACGACTTGAAGATCCGACTTCCGACTGGCGACGAAGTCGGAGCGTGAATGGTGAAGTTGGAAGTCGGATCACAGGTTGGATCGAAAATTTCCTCAGTCAGTTGACCTTCGGCACCTGTTACGTATGAGATTTCTATGAAATACTTTACGCAAAGATCTCTAGTTCGCGAATATTTAATAGAAAATAAACTTTCAATTGCACGAAAATTATCTTTTTGTTAGGGCAAATCATTTTCCTTTCTGTAAATCTATTTCGGACATTCCCATACAGGTAAATTTCCGATACTCCGGATTGGCTACAGAAGAATTATCAACAAACAATGAAAATTAAATCATAGTTG